AGTACCCCAACTAATTAAATTTAACAATAAAGGTATATGATTTGTTAATGATGCCAAATGCAATCTTCCTTTAACGTAAAGAATTATCTGTGAAGTAACACTAAAGTTCCCATCCGATATAGCCTGAAGATGTAGGAGAAACTTTGTGACCATGTTTAGTATGAGAACATGTAAAGTCATGCATCTAACAAAATGCTATTCCACATGTAAAATAAAAGACACCAACTACAGGAGAAGGCAGCATCTGTGACACTGATAAGATCAATAGCGTGGTCAGCGTCATGCAATTCTTAGAATACCTTCCTTGATATGTTAATAACAAGAATAAGAGTGATAATAACTAGAGGGGAAAATGATAATAAACCAAGAAGCCAATTGTACTACTGCATTGTCCTATTCAGTAATCATGATGGGAATCTCTCCACCTGTTAGTATACAAAAGATGTCTCTAACTAGAATTACACAAAGATACCTGCAATTTATGTCGCTATCATGTTGTGAATTAATTCTTTTTTAAGTCCTTTAAACTGCAACCTGGCACTCTTTCCATACCTCTCTTCTTCATCCTCTCCTTTGTTTGAGCTACTTCATCGCAACGACCGGCTGCAGCATAGATGTTGACCAACAACAAATGACACCAAAATTTCTCAGAATCTTGTTCAATTAACTTATTCGCAATTTGTTCTCCTAACATTACATCCCCACTAAAACGAGCTAAGCCAAGCAATTCAGACCGCAACCAGGATGTTAGTGGCAAATTGCTCTCGATAGGAATGTTCTTTAGTATTTTTACTGCTTCTTGCATTAATTAGACCAACATGTGCTAGAAGATTAGCCATGCACCAATGATGTGCGAAATTGGGATTTACACCAAACAAATCACTCGTATCGCCAAAGTATGTCCTTGCTTCTGTTACCAGTCCCTCACGGGCACAAGCACATAAGACACCAACAAAAATGATTTATTTCTGTATCTTCTAATCTACTACTCACCAAGTCTGCATATAGATTAAGCCCATCTTTTGGGTTCCCATGAATGCAATACCCCAAAATCATCGCATTCCAGCATACTATATTCTTGACCAACATCCTATCAAAAATTAGACGAGCAATTTCTGCTCTTCCGCATCTACTATACATTTGAATTAAAGTTGTACTAATAATCATTAGATACCTTAATAAGAAACCCATGAACAGACTTCCCTTCATTCATTCGAGCTGACGGAGCACAAGCAGTAAGAGCAACAACTATTGTCGCAATGTTACCATTCAATCCCCGCCTTGTCATTTCTCAGAACAACTTTAAGCACTTCCCGGGTTTATGAGAATTCAAATACCCAGTCACCATGACATTTCACCCGACTAAATTCCTCTGAGGCATTTCATCAAACAACTGTTGTCCAACAACTACTTCACCTACTTTCACTTATCCATTCACAATGCTATTCCACGACACAACATCCCTCTCAGTCATTTCATCGAATACCTGCCTAGCAACATAAATAAACCCACAACAAACATAGCAATGCACCAAAGAATTCTAAACCTGCAAAACCCCATAACTATTTTGAACCTGACAGCAATTTTTCTATGGCTCATTGTTTTCTGCTCCACTGCACATTCTTGCCATTGATATTGGAGCATTTTCCCTCTTTGTTCTTCGCTGTTCGACTATGCCTGAAACTCCAAAAGAGATTTTTACAAAGAAAGATGAGAGCTTTATCAAATTGGCAGAATTTTTTTCAAGATTTTCATCAGATTAAGCAAAAACAATAAATTCAAGCAAACAAAAATGGAGGGTGTCAATAGTTCCTGCGTTGGTGGAGCAAGCAAATGAACGTGTATTACATGTTTTTGTAAAATGACAAAATGGTCAGCTATGTTTGATTGGTTGTTCAAAATAGTCTGTTAAATATGCATTTAACAATTTTCTTTCTTTAAATTTGTTAAAATTAACATTTTTAGTCTTTTTAAAAAAATTATCAAAATTTATTTTGTTAGATTTAACTAGTAGAAAATTTGTGATTACAAATATCAAAAGATTACACTAGATACAAATAAAAAATATAAAAATAAATAGCAGAAATTACATACCAAAAAAGATTGAAGTTATCTCTAAACTATATGAAAGGTTTAAAATTATCCAATATTATTCCTTCATTATGGAACGTGTGGCATCACAAGATGCTAAGCCTCCGTTGTTTGAAAATATGGGCAATTTAGCACATTTGAATAACGACGAAGGTATATTTAACAACTATTGATAGAGGATAAATTTATTCATTTTCATATAGTTCAAAAATATATTTGACTCTTGTATTATAAAAGAGTTATATTTTTCCTCTACAATTAAAAAATAATAACAATATTACCCTCGATTATAATATCGAGCTATAGATATCATTAATGATATAATATCAATCCATATACGTTCTTAAAATTATTAAACATAACTCAAATCTACTCCTCCTTCGTTAATCCCCATTCATTTTAGCCAATATATCATGTCAAATTGTCAACCTTCTACATCAAATTCTCTTCTTTCGCCAAAATTCAAAATCATCGATATTTTGATTTTTTAGCGATTATTTTTTTTAATTGAATAAGCGGTAAAATAAATTTCACTTTTAAAAAAAAATGAAAGATGTATATATGATTTATGCTAGTAACGATGATGATTGTGTTGATGACTTGGCCTTTGGGTAACAATGAAAAGAAGAGTTAGTATAATGAGCTAGCATGTCATTTTTTAGTTGAAATAAATAGGTTAATATAATAATATTGAGTCACTTTTAAATTTTTAAAAACATATCTTGATTAATAGTATAACATTATAAAAATGTATAAACGTAAGTATAACGCACAATAATATTATAAATTTTCTTTTATAATAAATGAACAAATATGACTTTTTTCTCTTTTATTTTAAGGGGAAAATTTGGCCCTTAGTGGTACCACAAAAGTTGACCAAGGCAAACATAATTTTTTTTTGGTAATAATTAGGCCCCTATTAAGGGGAGAAATTTTGTTTTTAATAATTAGCTTTTAGATAATAACAATATAACTTTAAAATATTCAATTCACATTTAATGAATTGATTTCTAGCTACACAAATATATATCACTTATTTCAAATCATAAATTTTATTTTTTTAATTTCTTAAACTCCGTGCCAAATTAAAATAACTCATCTAAAATGAAATCGAGAGAGTAATATTTTCTCGTGAGTGGATGTAAAATTATGTAAGCTACCATCCATTTTCTTCCTGATTATTTAAAAAAACATTTTTGTACATTTACAGGTGTAATGGCCCATATTTTAATTTCTTGTCCTTTTTCTTATTATTAATTTATTATTATTATTAGTATTATTATTATTTTGGGTTATTGAACCTGGCTTGAAGTTTCTGCAATTTCCACATCATGGTTGCAAGTGGAAGGAAATATATAAATACAAAATTATTCTGATAACTTTGATTATAACCTCCTACTTTTTTCAAAAAAATTAATTAAACATTTAATTATTACTTTGATTACCACTTGGCAATTTGGCATCCTTATGCTTCCACTAGAAATATTTAAATTATACAATTAGTAATATTTTACACCATAAACTTAAAAATGACTTCTTAATTATTATTTTAGCCCTACAACAACTCCCACAAAATATACAAATAAAATATGAAGAAAATGATGGAATTCATAAGTCTCTGATTATTATAGTGTGGATTTCCCATTAGACATGTAATTTGTTTTTTTCTAAATAGATCACAATTTATTATTAAAATAAAAAATAAAAAAATGTGAAGGTTCTTTTATCTATTTCAAAAAACATCTACTTCATCATTATTTTTCCTTCGCATGTAATTTGTATCTATTGAAATAAATTAACCCAAGATATATTTATAGTGTTATGTGATATTTTCTGCTTTGAGTTAAGTCGTACAATTTTTAGAAAAGATCTCACACCTGTCAAGTCAAGTAAAACATATCAAAATTAAGTCTTAGAAAGAAATAAAGTAGTAAGAAGACATGCTAAAAGCAAAAAGAAGAAAACAATAACAACCATAAATAATACGGAATCAAAGCAAAAAAAAACAATAAATATTAATAAAATTAATGAACAAGATAGTAAAGGGATAAGAATAACAATACTAATAAGAAAACACAAGGTAGTATTAAACTACGTACTAACCTTTGTTTTAATTCTCGATCTTTATATATGATAAAACGTCATCGACATTAACAAGGAAAAAAGAAAAGAATGGTAACTTGGAATATACACCTACAACTTTTATTAACAAACTAAATTGGTTTTACTAGCCAATTTTTTATTTTTTTATAAGCTAAGGAGCATTGCTTTGCTTAAAAGTCATATCCATTGGGTGATTATGCTAAACACTAATTTTACACTTTAAAGATATGCTCACACTGTTCTATCTTCATTATAAATAATTCTTTAAATCAAATTAAATAAATCAAATTAAAGAAGAAAAACTATAAGTAAAGTAATTTTTTAAATTCATTTAACTCACTTTATATGACATTGTGGAGTCAAATTTTTTAATTACAATTTCTCAATGATTTTTGAATATTTCGAATTGTGAAAAAGTATAATTTATCATAGATTTAACAAAATTAGAAAATAATATTATTTTAAAAATTAAACATTAAAGTAAAGGCAAAATTACATTTTCCTCTTATTTCACTTTTTTTTTCTGCTTTTTCATGTTCGTACTATTTTGTCTGTATTATACAAAGATAAAAGCATTTATTAATCACTGATAAGATTTGATAATAAATAAATACAGATGTAATGTTTATGTCATATACAATTTAAAATATATACTTTTTATTTATTATTTTCAATGTTTTTTTTAATATTAAAAAAGAGTAATGGTTGTCTTCATGCCTTGTAACCTAATTTCACTTTTCCCAACCACAATTTTCTCTCTTTTTTTTTTCTGAATTTTCTTTTCCCAAACCGGACTCCAAACCATTTTCTTAAACAAAATACATAATTTTCCATCCTCAATATATTTAATTATTCAATAAATTATTAATTAATTAACTTTTTTTCATCATTATTATTTTCCTTTAATTACGTTCGGACATACTGAGGAAAGTTAGCAACCCCTAAATTAGTTTTTATTTTTTTAACTTATCAAAAACTCCACATTTCACATTTTCTCAAGAATCTCATTACAATAAAGCTTAAAAATTCAATCTTTTCCCCATAATTTCAGTCTTTTAATTCTGAAAAAAATCTTAAAATTTTCAACAAAAAATTCTGATCATTTCCATCTTCATTTCTGTTTAGCTTTCTTGTTTTCTTCTAAGCTCTGTTTTTCTGGTTAGACTTCAAAATTAGCACTAATTAAGCTTTTTTTGAGAATTTTTTCTTCATTGAAGGAAAATTATGGGGTTTTGAAGAAAAAAAGAGGGAAATTTTTAATTTTTTTTTGGCTATGGAGGGGAGTAACAGTGGAGTTACAGTAGTGGGATCAGATGCTCCATCAGATTACCATGTGGCAGCAAGGACCACTGAGAATCCGACAACACAGACAGTGACATCCCAGGTTGTTGTTGTTTCACCAACGCCGGCAACAGCTGTGTCTGCCGGCGCCGGCTTAACAGCTCTGAGTGTGAAGAAGAAGAGAGGCAGACCAAGAAAGTATGCACCAGATGGGTCTGTAAATGTTCTTTCCCCAAAGCCAATTTCATCATCTGCACCGTCGCCGGTGATTGATTTTTCGTCGTCGGAGAAAAGGGGGAAAATCCGGCCAGTTGGGTTAGTTAGTAAAATACATCAGCAACCTAAAGTTGATTTAGAAACTCCAGGTAAAGATAACAACTTTGTGGATTAGTTAATCTTTATGCTGTTTTTTTCTATTAGTTCAAAGCTCTAATCTTTTTCAAAACTGCTTGGAAATGCTTTAGTTTACTCCGAGAGTTATTGAAAACAGAGTCTCTATTTAGAAGTAGGGGTAAGGTCTGCGTAGCCTCTCTCCTCCCCATACCCCAGTTGTGGATTACACTTGGTATGTTGTCGTCGTTGTTAAAGATCTAATCTTTTTTCACATGCAAGTTGATTAATTAAATGTGTTCTATAGATCTGCGTGCTTAGTTGAATTAATTAGGCCTGTGAATGAAGTGGGATGAGAATAATGAGAGATCAGCTCGGAGTAAAAAAACACTAGGTTGTTAGTTTTTATTTGTCCAAGCTTTGCTGAGGCAAGGTTATCTCGTACTTGAACTGGTGGGAGGTAACATGTATCTAATGAAATAGTTGGGATGTGCACAAGTTGGTCCGGACATCATAATGAAAGAAAAGTGTGATTTTGTGAAGTTATGGGAAAATAGTGTAGGATGTGTGTAAAGGTGGGGCCTATTGTGAATAGATGCTTTAAGTATCATCTTTGATGCCAATGGGCAGCTCTGTGTGTGAGGTGGTGCTTTTTGGTTGGTCTGGGATTGAAGAATCTTATAAAACTTATTTATGTCATTGTGGGACTTTTCATGGGAGTAATTTTAGTTAGGAAAGTGTTTTCCTGGATTTCCAGATATAATCTACTGCTTAATAAGGAAATGGTAGTGTGAATTATACTCTTAAGAACTGCTGCTACTGTTGGAATATTACGAAAGAAGTTATGTTAATAGCATCATTGACCTCACCTAATTGCTAAGCTACTTTTATTCCCAATGATGACACTGTAATTCACTATAGTTTTTTTGGAGTTCCCTAACTGGGAGTCTTGTCACATTTATGCTTTTGTTAGCACATCTGAATAGATTGGATCTTCGTACTAAGCATACATGTGTATACTCATGGAAATTTTACTCTAGTTATTGTGCCATATTTTGCTTTTTCCTGTTACTGTTCCATAGTTAGTGCCACAATCATTTTGAACCGCAGCACTCAGCCCCCTCTTTTTTCTGTTTGTTCCCCTTCTTTGGGTCTGGCTGTATATGTGCATTGAAGTGGTTTTTTCTCTTTTCCCGTCCTTCATTTTTGGCAGTTGAGAAAGGGGGGGGGGGGGGCACTACGTGCTAATGGATACTAACGGAGGGAAACACAATATTTTTAAACTCAGAGGTGATCATCCCCGACTTTTCTATGAGGTGTCTCCTTATGAACTTCACAACACAAATTAACTGAGCTTTGTCTACTTTATGTTTTTTCTTTGTTTAGAGGAGGTTGGAAAGTCTATTCTAGACTTCGATATAATCATCAGTTAGTTGTGACTTGTCAAACAACATGTCATTAGTTAATTGTGTGAAAGACACTTTTTTTTGGGGGGGGGGGGGGGGACCATTGGCTATATATAAAATCATGATCTTTTTGTGTGATGAAGTTGCATGCCATATACACGTAATATGTTTTTGTAGTTGCATAGTTTATGTTAAGGTTTGTGTCAAATTACTAATAATTTAATTCTCTATCTGTAGGTGAATGGGTTTCATGCTCTGTTGGTGCTAATTTTACACCTCATATTATTACTGTAAATACTGGAGAGGTAAATCTTAGCTTTACATATGAAAGTTTTCTTTTTACAACGACTTAAACAAATCTGCATAAATAAGTTATCTGTTGCTTGCATAACACCTGTGACAACAGACAGAATTTATCTTCTCTTTCTTTATACCTTGGCACCTCATCGGCTCAAACCATGAGTCGTGTGAATCAAACTAGATGGCAGTTGCCAATTTAGACATTTTTAAAAGTAGTGACCATACTATAACACACCTCCACCCAAAACCAAGAGAAAAGGGGGAAATTTTCTGTAAAGTACATATCTAAAGAATTTTTCTTAGTTAAGTAAATTTCATAAATTGGCAGGAACTTCTCTTGGCAAATATAGACATAAGGATGTTTAAATGACTGTTTCATATTGAACTGAATGTTCATTGCTAATTGTTCTTTCAATCTTCCTTTAGGATGTCACCATGAAGGTTATATCATTCTCTCAACAAGGGCCTCGAGCAATATGCATTCTTTCAGCAAATGGTGTAATTTCAAGTGTTACACTTCGTCAACCAGACTCCTCTGGTGGCACATTGACGTATGAGGTGCTGCATAGTTCTTCTCTCGTAGTCATGTTGTTTTATGTCATATTTGAAGTGCTCTTGACTTTTGATCATTACTTCTATTTGTGATATTACTATCTTCTTCTGATAACTTTAGATAGTCAAATAGATGTCATACTCTTTGCTTTTTATTTAATCAAGAAGTAAAAAAAACTTCGTCGTACACTACCAAATTTACGTGTGTCAATATTCCCTCAGATGTAACTGCCACTGCCTACTGGTTAGTAACTTGTGAAGAACTTTATTACCACCTTAATTGATATAAACGGCATCTTAATCTAAATTGTGCATCTTAATCAGTACATGATCAAGTGACAGAGATATATTGAGGCTTCTAAGAGGTGACTAGGAAGAACTTCGTAAATCTTAACGAGTACACAGCTCAAAACTAATATGTCATCTAGTGAGAGATTAGGATGTAAACTCGTGATCTATGGAGGGGAAGTTAATTTAGTGTAAATAAGTATAGCTTATTGCATTTCTTCATTTGCTTATCATTTTCCATCATCCTCAAAATGGTCCAGAAGTTGTGTTTCCATTTACATGTAAAACAAACCATAACGAATCATGCGGAAAGAAAAACTAATTAGTGAAAAAATTTTAAAAATCAAGAAAAAAATAAAAGAAGATCAGTACATGAAAAAAGCGCAACTATATGCAGCTGTAAGTTGTAAGATCAGCATCGTGACACATCTTTTGAACAAATAGTGCCTATCAGCTGTAATCCCCATAAACTCTTCTAAGTTCTTGTTTTTGGCAAGTGGAAGGGAGATAAATTTCTTGAGCTCAACTATAGTAGCAATCTGCTCTCTACTTGACTTTGAATGAATGGCTAGGTAGACACAAATCAGTCAGAATAGTATATGCAGAAGACGGGTCAAATGAATAATCACACTAAGGCCTTTTATCTGATTTGTGCTTTTTTCTTCTTTCTTTTCTAAGGAAGGTGCCTTGCAACTATAATTTTTGTATAGGTTTGGATTCTTCCTGCCTCTGTAGTGTTGTCTCATTGGTCTTCTCTCGATTCATGTACCACTGTGGCATCCCAACTTCTTGATACCCTTATGTTAGTGATTAGGAGTGTCCATGAAACATGAAATCTTGATGGCACAAATTCGTAGTTTGACATCTGAAGCTAAAGCCTTTATTGCATGGAGAATTGATGTTTGGCATTCTATGTATGCACATGTTGTTATCGATAGACATTTGTGTATAACATTCCCCTTTCATTGTTCCTTTAGGGCCGGTTTGAGATACTGTCTTTGACTGGATCATTTATGCCATCAGAGACTGGAGGAATGAGAAACAGATCTGGCGGAATGAGTGTCTCCCTAGCAAGCCCTGATGGGCGTGTTGTAGGGGGTGGAGTAGCCGGTCTATTAGTAGCTGCCAGTCCTGTGCAGGTATCGGTTTGCCTAAACATAGCAGTCTTATTTATTCACGAATTTATGCTTATTTGACAAAGAAAGTAGTATCTTCGAGTTGCAACCAATTATTTAGTCGCTCGGATGATGACATTTGGTCTTTTATCTTTGTTGCTGTTAATCAGATTGTTATAGGCAGCTTTCTTGCTGGAGACCAACATGAACAGAGAACCAAGAAAAACAAACTGGAGCCTATTATTGCTGCTGTTCCTCTACCCGAGACGGAAGACCCTTATCACTCCTCAGTAAAACAAACTACACCAACTTCCTCTTCTTTCCGCGTAGATAATTGGTCAGCCCCTGATTCTAGGAATAAACCAGCTGAAATAAATGTAACTCTTCCAGCATAGGGTGAAATTTGAATGTGATTTTACTAGACCATAAGTCTACGCGTCTTTAACGAAGTTCCTATTGATCTTTCTCACCTCCTATTTGATGTTTGTTTGAGGTCTCTGTGCAGTAATCTAAACAAGTTTTCTAGATAGCCTTTGCTATTCTGGTGTTTGGCTGTAGAGTTTTAGATTTATGATGTTTTCGTGACGCTTTGGTTACGAAGGTTACCACGGTCTAGGTTCTTAGTGTTTTAATGGTTTATGTCTAGTTTTAACAGGCATATTCATCCTCTTAATTAAATGCCACATTTTGTACTTTGAACCATTTTATTGTGATTTTTAATTTAGATTCATCCAAATCGGTGACCCAATCTGTTCATATTTAAGATTAAACAACATTTTGATACATATTTTTGGTTTAAGGGCCCGTTTGGCCATGAAATTTTGTACGAAGAGATGAAACCACACCGTTCAAATGCTTATTTCAAATCACCAGATGAAATTTAAATGTATTTGGTAGCATTAATATATTTATTTACTCTCTTGAATTACAAAATCAAAAGAATTTGACTAATAAATAGGTGACACACCTTGCAAGATCCCTTTTTGTCTCCATTCATAACAATCTTTGCAGTCCACTTTCTCATATTTTTGGGTTCTTTATAAAGGGGAAGTCTCTGTTTCTGTTTCCTTTTTTGAGTTGAAATCTCATGTTTCAAATAAATAAACTCAGATGGTAGGAGAAGTGGAGAAGATGGTGACAGTAGGGCTTGTTTGGGGAGCCACAAATGCCTTGATGCGAAAAGGCGCAATCAAATGGGATGAAACCATTAAATCATTGCCACAACCAAACACACCCCAACACAATATAATGACAACTCTCAAAAATTGGTTCAAACTTCTGTTGATATGGCAATACTCTTTACCATTTGTTCTAAATTTATCAGCATCAGCTACATTTTTCGCCATTCTTAGTGATACGCAAATTTCTTTAGCTGTTCCTGTCACTAATGCCACAACTTTTGCTGCTACGGCTGTTTTCGGATTGATTCTTGGTGAAGAAATTCTTGTTGGTCGTGCTCTGTTTGGTACATTTCTTATTTTTCTTGGTGTTTATATTTGTATTATGTAAAATGTTGAGAATTGGGGTGTGTTTGGTATGAAGGAAGAAAATGTTTTCCAATTTTCTCATGTTTGGTTGGGCTAAATGTTTTGGAAAATGTTTTCCAAATCAACTCATTTTCCTCAAATTTAAGGAAAATGACTTCCCTTCAAAACTTAAGGAAAACATTTTCCAAAACTCTCTTTCAACTTCCAATTAAAAAAAATTGTTGAAAAAATCAATTTATTTGGTCCCTACCCTCAAATCAGCCCCCCCAACCACCCCCAAATAAAATAAAAATTTAAAGTTTATTTTTAAATTCAATATTTTTACCCCACCCTCACCCCTACCCCACCCCTACCACCACCCCTCCCAAAAAAATATTAAAAGTTGTTTTTAAAAGATATTTCTAATTTCAATTTTTTATTTTTTTACACCCCTACCTCCTACCCTTGCCCCCCCAGCCCCCTATCAGCCTCCCACTCCCTTCAAAAAGAAAAAAAATTAAGTTTGTTTTTAAAAAATATTATTTCATTTTTTCACCCTTACCATTGACCCCCTTACCCAACCCCCACCCACCCCCTACCACCCCCCCACTCCCCAAAAAAAAAATTAAGTTTGTTTTTAAAAAATATTTTTGACTTCAAAATTTCATTTTTTCCACCCCTACCCTCGACCCCCCACCCCAACCCACCCCCCAAAAAAAATTTTAAGTTTATTTTTAAAAAATATTTTTAACTTCAAAATTTCAATGAAAACATTTTCCTTCATACCAAACACACCCTTGATGAATCTTGTTGGATATGATAGTAAGACTGAAAAATGGAAATACTTGTTTTGTTTTTGAATTTGAATATACACAGAAAGTTCAGAATTCACCCTGATTTGAATGTTGATGTTTTGGTCTTGGTCAGACATTATTTGAAATCAGATTGATTTGAAGTTGAAATTTTAATTTGAATATGCGATATAGATTTCTTAAGCTGTATTTTTTCTCATAAAAATGAAAAACTCACAAGTTATAAAAATTACTATCAAAATTTTCTCAATTTGTTTTACCATCTTACCAAACAAGCAAACCACAATTCATAAACAAGTATTCAAATATCTTAAAGTGTTGCAATGATAAATTACATATTCCTTTTATAAATGAATATTTACGATTACAAATTTTCAATTACACATAATTTTATAAAAATTCACTAATTAACAATATAATCCTTTCACATAGCACAAACAATTTAATCCTTTTTAACAAATATGAACTTATGAGTCAAGTTTTATTGGAAATCAAATCATAGTGTTAAATTGGAAAACCGGTTTTCGTATTTGGAGTGAAAAATTGACACAATATATTACTAACTAAATATTTTTTTTGTGAAAAAGAAAATAATACGAAAGATTAAGCTTCAATTCTTTTACTTCAACAGCTATGCCAATTTTTGAATAAGTAGATCAAAAGAGTTCAATATGCAGATTAAACAATTTTTTTGCAGAACAACACTGAAACTCGTAGTCTCGTACAACTACTATCAGCCATTTAAACTTAACCAAGACCTGCTGTGATATCCCTCGGCGGAGCATCTCCGTCAATACGGGAAGGCCTAACTATACGGTCAATAAGACCATATTCAAGAGCTTCTTTAGCAGTGAATCGCTTCACCCGACTCAAATCCTTGTGAACCTACATGGTTCCAGTTACTATGATCAACAGTTTTGATATGCAGAGATGAATTTTTACTCGATATAATGATGAGAGTTTGTTTAGGTGGAAACTAATTTCGAATCATAGTTTTGAAAAACAATGACATACCTTTTCAATAGGCTGGCCTGTCTTCTCAGACAACTCCTTGAAAAGGTAATTTCTAATTCTGAGAAGTTCTTCTGCTTCATTACGGATATCATCAGCCTGCCAAAGATGAAAATGTAAGCATATGTAGTCTCAGAAAGATCATCAAAAACAAACATTTCCTTCCAAAATGTCGTGGAGGGAAGCAAACCTGTCCGCGTGCAGCTCCAGCTGGAGATTCTAATGCAATCCTTGAAAGAGGCATTGCACATCGATTGCCCTTCATGATGGAAATTTTACCAAATTAACAAATACGCTTTAGTTTGCCTTTCCACACAATCACATCACTGACAAAAGAAACTAAGCCAAAACAAAGAATCCTGGAGAACTTTTTCCCCAAGAGTGCTTAATGTGAATATGCCTATCATTTGAGGTCTTTGCATTAACAGTTTCTCATCACAAAAGGATTCCTCATTTAGGCTAGGAATGAACAAGTGCATTAGCATCAGGTGAATCGTACGAATCACATATTTAATCCCAGTGATATACCTTCAGAAAAACAAGAATTGATCTAGACAGCCAAAAGAAATCATATGTCAATTTTTTCCTCCTTTTTCCTTTTTCTTTTTTGTGATTTGTTTTCATCAATTTATGACCAAGTTATCATTTTGAAAACTTAACCAAAAAAAGGAAAAAGGAGAAAGTAGTCTGACTGCACATTATAAGATAGAATCACAACTTTCAGTGAGGGCCTTCGAAGAGAGACAAGACCAACTAATAATCAGGCAAATTCACCTCTAGGTTAAAATAAGATAAAATGAACTCTCATAAAATAGAGTTCTTTGGGTTGTCATCACAAGGGGCTGATACCGGCAAATTTCTTTTCAAGTCAAATGCTGAAAAAAGAAATTAAATAAAAAAGAAAAAGCGAAACTAGCCAAAATGTCCAGAAAAGTCAATTGCATCTTTAGATAAAATAATCAGCTACAAACAACTCGAAAAGCTACTCTAAGTAAGACACTGTAGATAAGCACAGGTATTTTGTTCACATTTCATCACTACGAGAGAAGTATCGTACCTTTTCTCCAGCAGCAAGAAGAAAAGCGGCAAGATTGTAGGCAAAGCCCACACAGTGGGTACCAACAGCACTTTTCAGACTTTGCATTGTGTCGTAAATGGCCATGGTTGGAGTTAGCTGTAATTAGAAGTAACTTTAAGCATAACAAGAAGAAAGAAAGCGGTCTGAGTACAAATTTTAGAAGAAAAAGGAGGTGTTTCTAATTAAAAAAGAAACTTTGACAACAAAGTAAAATTGGTAAAGAACTCACATCACCACCAGGGCCATTGATAAACATGTAGAGCTTCTTGGAACTATCAATACTGTCAAGGTACAGCATTGTTGCCAATATCTGGTTGCTAAATTCTTCATTTATCTCTTCTCCAATGAAAATAACACGTTCGCGGTACTGCATTCGAGAATTCAGTGATATTTTCCCAGATAAAAAATATGAATTATTATACAATTAGTCAAAGAAGAAATGAAGGCACTCTTCGAACAGGAAGTGATCCAGAGAACAATGTAAAGGGCTCTAGATCACAAGTTATCAAGCTTAGATTTAATGGACTTAGAAGTCATATTCAAATAGTGGTTCAGCCAATGAATGTGCCGGCTACAACCACTAATAAGAAGAGACTGGTCCTGCACCTTGACATCTTAAATTACTGCTAAAACGAATAAAATTCTTTATCCAGATAGCAATAATCTGCTAGCTTAACTAGAAACTGAAGGCATGTTACTTACAAGAGCATTCCACAAATCAACCCATTGCCACGATGAGTCAGTTGGATTTCTATAGGGCACCTTTGGTGTCCCAATGGGCATCATGGTAACTTGTGCACGTGTTGCTTTGCCATCTTTAGTTCTGGAATTAGGAATTATGATTTATGGGTCAGGTTAGAAACATAAGCAGCAGCCAAATGAAACTTGAGAAAAAATATACGAACTTGATATATCCAAAGGGGAGTTGAGGTTCCACTCATAGAAGAGATGGGATATACTCAGAAATGAACCACATGCAAGGCACAAGCTTGTAAGTAACTATCAATTGAAACTAATGCAAGTGCTACACCTCATTCAGATCTGCTTGTTAGTGAGACACACCTCATCAGATCAACTGAGATCCTTTTATTTTTGTGTTTGGGGGTGAGGGGTTGGGGCGGGGGGGGGATAGAACAGTTTAAATCTTCTCATTTGAACTTCGGAATGATTTGAAATTTGATTGTAAACAAAGTATACTGACTTATGCTAGATATAAGTTCCTTAAAAGATGGAGGCAATGTTAAGCATAAACTCATAAACTCACGTGAGGGAAAGATCAGAGAGGTATGAAGGAGGTGGGATCGAGGAGAGGAGTGTACGGTGATTTACATGTCATATTTGGAAGTGAAAGTAGTTTAGGAGATAAGTTGGGGACTTGAGCTTCTAGGGGAGTCGAGCAGAAATTGAGTGAAGATAATCTGGCAAGAAAATCCAACAAGTATAGTTGGACAACAATGATCAGGCCATTCAGATAGCATCAATGGAATAAACAGATCAAGACGGCTCATCCAACTCTCTTTGTTGCAGATTTAGATCAATCATATAGAGAAGTAATTTAGATGATTACAAGTAGAGATTGAGAGGAACTAAGGATTTTGGGGATATTTGGTACTTACGAAGAAGAGGGAGCAAGAGAATAAATCTGGAAGACTGAGTAAAGATGGCATGAGCTTTGGGAAAAAGAAAACCTTTTTAAAAAATTATCAGAAGCGAAAAGACATGAAAGAGAAAATAAGGCTGACAGGTTAGAAGGTTTGAGTGTGAGATTTAACAATCCAGCAGCAAGAAATGTGCAGAGTTTGGAAAAAGCTCAACAAAGGGAAGAATAGCTCTGCACAAGTAATTGTTGATTCATATTCTCTATGCTAATTTTTATTAGTAAATTTCACTATCCTCGATCAAGTCATATATATTTCCTGGTTGCTTGTTTACTGGGCACTCGGCCTTTCCAGCTTGCCTGTTAGGCATTTTCTGTTAGTAGTTTGAGGAAAAGGATTGCGGCTCCAAGATGAACTTGAACAGAACAACAAAGCCCATACTTCATAAATATCAACAGCTAGATAAAAAGACAACTTCTTTTCCCTTTTCAAAACCATTAAATTAAATTAGCCTGCGGCATCTTCCTCTCCCGTGGAAAATATCCTCGGCTGGGACGGCAAGAAACTAAAAGAAAACTATGCATAGGTGAGAAAGGCAGATGGAAGAAAGTACTATGCATTGAAGAATAAGAAACTACACGACTACTAAATAACTCCCTACCTCTCCCACATAAAAAGCGGCAACACTTGACCACTAACTAGCCTTCCACTCTAATCCTCGACCTCCAAACCTTCATATCTAGGGTCATGTCCTCAATAAGTTGAAGTTGTGTCATGTCTTGTCTAATCACTTCTCCTAGTTCTTTTTTGGCCTACCTTTCCCTCTCTTAACTTCTGTTACTGCCAACCTCTCACACCTCCTTACCGGCGCATCCGCACACCTCTTCTTCACATACCCGAACCATCTCAATCTCGCTTCTCTCATCTTGCCTGCTACGAAAGTCACTCCCACTTGACCCTGTATAACTTCATTCCTAATCATATCTCTGCTAGTATGTCGACAAATCTATCTAAGCATCCTCATCTTCTGATCAACCAAGACCAAAATACTCACTCAAAATTATAAAACCAAGAAGTCCATTCATATCTACATTCAAATCATCCATAATTCTCACATACATATTACAACTCACGTTCAATTCCTTTCATTAGGTGGACATAGCGTATAAGCAACGAGTTCATCTGAAACTCATTTCCTTTGGCTCCTACACAAGGGAACATCCACTAGCATTGATGACTATTAAGAAAATCAACCACTGCTCTAAATCCTCGATTCGCCCCTACTGACAAAATACTCTAATTCTAACAAAACTAGGTCATATATACATACATAACAACAACACATCATTATTCAAGACAACAACTTTTTAGCTACAAAATTCACCCAATTATTAGAAAAAAATAATTACCCGGATTCAATACTTTTGTGAACTCTGCTGAAAAAATCAACATTTAAATTAGATGTCGCAACCCCATAAGAACCTGCCCAAAATTATAAAAAAAAAAAAACAGTTATTATCCAATTAAAACAAGGGGAAAAAAACACAAATTAAGATAACCACTATGTAATAAAACATACCTGGAGATTGGATTCTTAATCCAACATAAACTTTGCTGGCGCAGCTGAAAACAATATAAAAAGTTAAAAAAAATTACAAAAAAGAAACATTAATTTTGTGGAAAATAAGAAAATTGAATTGAGAAAAAAGAAGAAGAGGGCAAATGGTACCTTAAAGAAGACTTAGGGATTTTAGTTTTAGAGTGTAGATATGAGGAAGAAGTTGTTGGAAGAGCTACTGCCATTGATGCTTTGGTGAAGCAACAAAGGTAGAAGAAAGAGTGTGAGAAGGAGTTGTCAAAATTTTTTTTTCACGAAGCACCTTGTTGCTTTTTGGATAGGGAAGAGTTCCGGGTCCGGGTAGAAACCCAGATTAATATTTGACCCGTTAGAATAAACTTTTTTAAAAAAAAAATCGATTTAGGGAGAATTATTTTTGACCATTATTATTTTATTTTCATTTTAATTCTTCTTTCGTTATATTTTTCTGTATGTTTGAGTATTTGCATTGTGTTTTGTTATTACTATTATTATTTTTATTTTAATAGAGAGAACAAGGAAACAAGTTACTATAATAGAAAAACTCTTTTCTTAGAGGGTCTAGGTAATTCTTGAATAGTAGAAATTCATAACTTGAAACTCAGACATAAGAAAACAAAAGTTCGTTAAAAACACATTTTATTGTAATTTGCATGCAAGGGGATCGTTGTACGAACCCATAAACAAAGATTTGGATGAGCAAAACTTGAATAAGCTTCAGCACAATCATTTAGCAATTTAGTTACACTTACAGACCTAGCCAATTGGCATTGGAACATTTTGGTTTGAGCCACCAGAAAACTTACACAAAAACTGAACTCTGATTTAGCTACGTTCAATTGAGATAACTATAAAGAGAAAAATAAGCAAACAACAAAAGATATGTCCAGAAATAGAATATGATATCACTTGCAGTTTTACCAAATTGAAGGTTGAACTTCAAATGTCTTTCCATAAGTACATCTGTCAAAAGTGACGAATCATTTCAGAACGAACAACATGAGACATACTATATGTTCCTTTTTCGAAAATGGTTAACTTCTTTACTAGGAATTATTGTACATGGTAACAAGGCATCTGGTGAGCACACACGGATGGCAGATGGCTGAACTTCGTCAAACAGCACTAAGCAGGCTTCTCATATGTGTTTGCGTCTCTGAAATCTGAAATAGCACTACGAATCATTCCAGCCATATCAGATCGAACAAACAGATGTGTATTGTCCAAAACATGTATGATGAACTTTTGTGATTGTGGCAATGAAGCATTCATATTGATAATAAACTGAGTCATAGGTATATCACTGCAAAAGAAGAAAGCAAACCTCAGCATCAAACAAGCAGAAGTATTAGAAAGAAAGATCGCCAAAGAAACTTGGCTGGGAAGTTCTGACCCTATATTCTACCAACAAATATTGTCATTCGATTATCTTAAGATAGTACTTTACCATGATAGGTACAATCCTTTGACCGCATTCACCATCACGTATCAAAACTCTCCAAGCTTGAGCTGCAAAATAAATGATAGAAATTAGCCAAGAAGTTATATGGCCATCCATATGCAAAGGCGTAATAAGTATGATTACAGCTGTTTGACTAATACAATGTTCTAACTTAAAGAAAAGAGAGTGATGAAGGGATCTTTGAACCTAAAATAAGAAACCAGAGAGGCTGTTAACAGAATTGAGTAGAACTTTAGATGTCCTTGCACATTCTTTATTAAGTCCTTCAGATTTGCTGCCTTAACTTTGGAAAGATCGTTTTTGTTCACATTTCTTTTCATTTTTTTCTTCTAGAAGTTGAGAAAGTAAGAAGAGTGAACAAAGACCCCACAGAGTGGTATCATAATTTTTTTATAAGGAAATCTTCCTCCTTATCCATGAAATTGACATATAGTGAATGGACGAACCCCTTCAACTCGGGATTCAGACTTAAAATAGTAAGACTTTTAAGATAGTCCTGAAATTTGGGCCATCTTGCCTCATTTCAACTCTGTCGAAGATAATTCCAATTTCATGCAACTCAAGATGTTTCATTTCTACTTGCTAAACACTTTGCTATAACTAGCGTTTTCAAAGGCGTGCTTAGGCCCTGAAGCAACGCACAAACCATGTTGAACATTTCGCTATCGTCATCAAGTCTCTAAGGCTTACTTATTACTTGCCAATGAGCATAATCACAAAGAGACCACACTAAACAATTTATATCTCAGTTTCCTTACTCATATCTTTGTTATTCATGCGTATAATTATTAGTCTTGAACTACATACATATTTGCATTTCCATTTGCACCTTACTGAATTAAGGCTCACGCTTTATTTGCACTGTGCGCTTAAAAGCCCCAACAGACCTTAGTCTTTGATCACACTGACTTTACTAGTTATAATTCATAAATGTTATCACAGAGTTGATCCCTTCAAGCAGAATGTTCCTAAAAGTTGTGAAATTAAAAAATCCCCATTGGAACAAAACAAAACAAAATCATGTCAAATCGGATCTTAGCTACAACTAAGAATAGTCTATTTGATCAGATCACTCTATCACAGTGCTAATACTGATTCAGTAATTTCAACAAGAATTCATGTGCAAAATTTCATCAAATTTGCAATAAATAACAGGTATAAACTCATAATTTTACTCTAATAAATCATAGTTACGAAAGATTAAAGGAAAAAAAAACAACAAAATCATAGTTTTAGTAAAATAAAAATAATAATTGAAGGTGCAATTTGAAGGAGGCTAACCTGGGGATGAATCGGAGATGAGGTGAATGACAAAGAGGAGGTTTTTGGTTCTATTTTATGGCTGAATCTCCACATTGTCACCCTCAACTTTGTATAAATACCACAATTTATCTAAACTTTGTCAAATGCACAATTAACCCTCCTAGTACTTTTTCTTATCGCAGAACCAGTCCCAATTTATGTACACTTTTTATTTTTTGATATCCAAACTATGTAAATTTGATTAATGTTTTAATAATACATTTTTTTCATTATATTGATCTGAAAAGAATTGTAATTTATAATATTTTTCATATAGTATTTTAACATCTAAATTTTAATGTTAATATATTGAATTGATTTGATTCAATTTAACTTTAAAAATTAGTCAAACTGACGCTAGAAAATTAAAAATTGTCACATACTTAATTTGCTTAGAAAAAGGGGAAGAATACTTTGGGACCCTTTAAGTTTGGCACATTTATTCAGTACACTCCTAAATTAGTTTAGTTATAATTACCCTTTGAACTTAATTAGTAATTTGTTAATCTTGACACTTGACACCCCGAATATCAGCCAATATATTCATTATTTTAGCACATACATTAATTTCGACAAATAATTGAAAAGGTGACACGTCACACGTACGTACATTCAAATGAAAAAAAAAAAAAAAAAACACCAAAACCAAAAATAACTAGTTTAAAATGTGGATAAAAAGCTATAGAACGAAATCCATGAGCTTTGTAAATGGAAGTGAAATAACTTGATGTTAAGTGCTTGGTTTTGGACAAACAAAGAAACTTCGACATCCCAAATTCACCAATTTCTCCTCTTTCCTCAAACCTGCATAATTATTAACCAGACATGAGTCACATGTTAATATATAGCGTTAGAATTATAATTTTGAATTTATAAGTTATAAATACACAACTTATTAAGATTTTGATAATTGTTTTGTACATATTAAATGAATTTTTAAATATATAATATATATTTTGAATCAAAATAATTAAATTCGACTGCATTAGCTCCCGTCCTTGATAAGATAGCTAGTCAATAGGTTTCTATAATAATAAGTTGATGAGGTAGAAAAAAGGAATAGTTGGATTTGTTTCAAATATACTCTCTTGGAATAAAAGTAGATGTCAAGTTTTATATGTTTAATTTCTATTTTAACTATACCATATTTTTAATGAGAGTGATATAATAAATTATAATTCTATTTATTATGTGTCAAGTGAATACCGAACCAGTAAAAATATTCAATATTATGTTTAATTGAAACTTACTCTCCATACTAAATTGAGAATAATGAAGTTCATAACAAAGCGGATCACTACGATTCAACAACGGCCGCCGTTTCTCCTTCACGTAAATCTCAATCGCCGCCCTTATCAATTCTCCGACGGTATTCTCCGGCGACATCACCAAATTCACCGGGCCCAAACTATTCTGAATAGTTACATTCACCAACAACTTCGTTAACTTGTATTGCTTATCACGAGCGTCGCTGGCGGTCGCGACCGCGAATCTCGGCGACGCTCTGCTGCCGCTGTGCATGGAGCTACTAGATATATAAACTATTAATACGAGGATTTATATTTTTATTTTAATTAATGTTGTGGAATAATAGAGATGTTTATTTTTGTGTGTGTTGTGATGGATTGTTATATATTACGTAAGAAATGGAGGGGTTGGTGATAATGAAGTTTTTGGCAGATAATGAAATTATTTTAGTTTTTGTGGCGCACGAAATTTCTAGGAAATAGCTGCTACTCTCATGTCTCAACTTTTCTGTCCCCCCAAGTAGGCAGTACTCCTTTGTCCTTATTTATCTGATATTTTTCGAATTTTGAAACTTAAATATGTTTTTTTGTTCTAACGCTAAATAAGAAATGTTCTTCAATTTTAAAATGAGATCATATTTAGTAGATAGCGAGTTTCCTGATCTTCAAATTTTATTTACATCTTATATTTGTAAATTGGCTCATCTTCGTAAAGGAATTGAAGGAGTAATAATGAAACAACGTCGACTATAGTCTCTAGCCTTCCAAGCTAAGGACAATGATATCTCATCAACACGTGTTGTTAGAAAAAAAAATGATTTTCTTTAAGGAAAAATGGCCAAGAAATTTGGTTAGAATGGTATTTTACCTTTTTAAATATTTTTACCCTTTTAGCTTTAATATCTTTTAATTAAAAAATGAAAAAAAAATCAATTTATTTTTAAAAAAAAAAAAAATTATAGATTTTTTAATTTTCTTGCCATTTTATTTACATCTTATTTTCTACTTTCGCGTTGCTTTTGTATTGTTTTTTTAAAATCCTTTTTTTTGTGTGTTTGATTTAGCGTACAATCTAATCTAGATTTTTCAAGTATCAAAAGCTATATTAATATACTTTTTTCAACGTTTAGGTGGAGTAGGATAAAACAAGCTAGAAAAGATACTTATAAATTAAAGAACTAAAATTGCTTAAACATTTAGGAACATAGTTCCAAGATTTCAAATTATTTTTGTGGCTCAAATTAGGGAGAGTATTCATGCGCTTTTGTATCTTTTCAATCCCATGACATTTTGTATTTAAATATTTGATATATATAAATCTATACAATATTTTGCTTTATAAATGAATGGATCTTACAGTGATCCATTACTGTTTGGATGATAAAATAAAAATTACATGGAAGGGTAATATCACCATGCAACATATCGTATAATATGTTGATCGAGTAGCAAATCAAATACTCATGCTACTCTATCATATAATAAGTAAAATTCCGAGTTCACCTCTATTACGAGTTATGTTGTGTCATTGCATGCAACCAAGGAATTTCCACAGCCTACATGTTCTTCTAATGATTTTATTTATCTTGCGACCAAAGAATCCATCGAAGACAATGAGTGATTGGGCATTTGCCTTAACAGGACCAATCTGATCTGTAGTTATTTCTCGATTACTTCCATTACTATTACTCTTTCGAAGATAAAAACTTCTGCTCCCAACATCTCCAATCACATCTGTGTTGCTCAAGCCTATATGAATAATAAAATACAAAATTATAACGATCATATAAGGGAAAATGCATAAGTACCCCCTCAGCCTATGTCCGAAATCCCAGAAACACACCTAACCTTTACTAAGGTCCTATTACCCCCCCGAACTTAATTTATCTATAATATTCTACCCCTTTTCGGCCTACGTGGCACTATCCTTAAAAAAATGTCAACATGCGCTGGGCCCACCTGATAGTGCCACGTAGGCCAAAAAGGGGTAGAATATTACATATAAAATAAGTTCGGGGGGTAATAGGACCTTAATAAAGGTTAGGTGTGTCTCTGGGATTTCGGGTATAGGCTGGGGTACTTATGCATTTTCCCATCATATAATTGACCCTAACTTATTTTGGACTTAATTAAAAGCATAGCCGAAATTTTGCAATAGCTGTATTAATTTATTAATCAAATTCTTAAGTCTTGAAATACAACATGACATTCCCTTACAGAACATAGGCAACTGTGTCATTCAAACATTTTCTTTAATCTAACACCAAAAAACAACATTATCTTTGATAAAATAGTCAATATATCACAGACCAATCTAAATAATGTGATTAATTACTGGGTGAGCCAGAGATTAATATTTTAAGTTTCATCAGCTAACCTTACATCAAACACAAGAGAATTGACCTTTCAACAAAGAAAGGGTTTATACACCAAAATTATTTAAATACCAATGATTATATAATTAGATACATTCAATATTAGTCCTAAAAATCACTAATTGTTCTAATCAACATTTGTTTACATTATAAATGTGAATTTTTAGGGTGGACTGTGGAGTACATACATAAATGTAAAATTGGTAAAATTAGCAAACGAAAACATGATGTGTTTAATCTTATTTAAGTTTGACCCGCTTATTAACTCATCCTATTTGACCAGCTCAATTCAACTCATCTAAAATATGGGAGGACGATAACCCATTGTTTAGTCCATCTTGACTCAGCCACCCTAACCGAAGTAACATTTAGGAAGGTTAATGACCGTTCATTTATTAATACAGTCTATCCAGACCCGCCAAATCAAGCTTAGCCTGTTCATTTTGACTTGTTTAAATTTAACCCAACCTACTCATTTGACACCTGTAGGCTGTAATCATTATCTAATCTCCAAAACTAGTTTGGATTTAGTAAAGTTGAGGTTTAGGACTTACTTTGAAGACTGAAGTGAGATTGGTACAATTGAAAAGATGAATCAGCTCTGTTTTTATCAAGACGAGGAGTCCGGCCTTCTTCACTATATTTGTCAATCACAAGCCTTATTGTCTCATCAACACTTGATCCCAACTTCACCATTGTTCTTACTGCCCCTGGACTTCCTTCAACTGTCACATTAACCACAACTTTTGCATCCTTCTTATACCCCTTCTGCACAAAATCCTCCAACATATTAGACATCAAAAATAAAAATACTCCTTTCGTTTCAATTCCTTTGTCTAATTTTGACTTGAAGCAGAGTTTAAAACGAAGGGAGTAGTAGTAAGACACCCTCACTTCCAATAGATTGGTCAAGTACAAAAGACTGTTGATTCTAATAGTGGGGTACGCAGAACTTTTTGTAAGCAGTGTGGATATTTTAAAAAGTGATATAACCTTAGTTCTATAAAGTACAATTATATATATCATCTGGATGGATTGTAATTTTACAATGAGATGCAAATATTGGACTATTTCAAGTTGATTTAGCGCTGGTTAGTAAATTACTAGTCATTCACACAACAAAGAATGTGAAAACAAACACTATCAATTGGGCGATTGTTGATTTTCACACAATTAGCATGACTAAATTGCAATAGCTTTGACTTCATAACATCATTATAGGTGGGGAAGAAATATCAGCTACCAACAACAATAGTATCAGAACTCGTAAAGTTTAAATTCTGAATTCAATTTTGTATAATGGCACAATAATCTTATTCCATTAATTCATTCATGCATCTAGTACAAGTTTCTAATTGAGTATTATTAGTAGCATTATCAAAACTCAAATAAAATGAATTTACTCAAATAATGGAATTTCAACGAATAGCACGCAAACAAACTCCCAAAATTTCCCCCAAAAATCCAAAAAAGGGGAAAATTACCTGAAAACTCGGCGGAGATCCAGAAATCAGATAATCCGGAGACACGAATAAATCCGAACAAGTTTGTGGCCGGAAAAGTATTTCCAACGACTGCGCCATCGCATCCCGGCGATCATCATCTTCAAAGTCAACAAATCCAATTTTCAAAACACAAGGCTCCGATTTGCTTCTCTCTAATGCCTTATAATTAGTATCCCTGTGCTGCTTCGATGACCGGCGATTCACCGGCACAGGCGTATACCTCCGACGACCCGACGGCGACGGTTTTAGTGCTCTGCTGGAAGTTTTCCGGCTCACCGGAAATCTTCGCCGGATATTGTTATCTGACATATGTATAAATGAACTTGGTATTTAGAGTGTACTTTAATTAATTTTGCAGTTTGCTAATTAGAAGCGTATATATACAGGTACATGAAGGCGTATGAATAGAATCAAAGTGAAATGTGTGAAAAATGCCAAAAATGGAAGTTGCTTGGAATTTCAAGGTGGTTACTGGTGACCGTTTATTTTTTATTCTTATATTCATTTCGTTCTTTTTCAGTTTCCGCGTTTTACTTTTTGATAGTTAATTTAATTATTTTTTAAAGTTAAATTAGATTTTTTAAATATTAATTAGGTATTTTTTAAATTTAAATTTAAATATTTAAAAACTATATAAAATATATTATAAATTATTTTCATATCAATACAATAAAAATATGGGAATACATCACATCTTACTCTTTTCTAAATATAAAAATTGATGGAATTTGAATACATCCTAGAATATTTCGATAAAAATATTAGTCAAAATTTATACTCCATCTTTTAACTGTCAAAAAGGAAATTGTGACTAATAAAAAAGAATAAAGTGAATATTTCAGTAATTGTATACTTACAAGGAAGGTAAAATTTGAAAATAGCTTAGTTGCATTGAATATTTATCTTATTAGCGTAAGTTTAATTTTCCACGTTATAATTTTGTCTCTATTTCCATGTAAGGAAAAAAATTTGCATTTAATTTTTACGCAAATTCATGAACACGGGTATTGACATACCACTCTTATCACTAGTTTTTCAACGATTAAGATATTTAAATGATTGAATCGAATTGAGTATTAAGATTTGTATTATGGTTTAAGCGTGTGAATAAATGATTTAATTAGATAATAATTGAATATTAAGATATGTATTATGATTCAGACGTGTGAATGTATAATTAAATTAGATATTAATTGAATTTGAAGATATGATGAGATTATGAATTTGAATTCATATTTTATTAAAAGACTTAAAGATTCGTACTTTTTTTCAACATCTGTAAATTTATATAAAAGTTGACTTTACTGAATTAATTAAACATAAATTCAAATAAGTTACATATTATATTGGAAAAATTACTTGAGTGGATCCTATTTAAAAAATAATTACTTATTTTAAATATACTCTTTAATTATTACCATTTATAACAATATATAACAA